GGAAAAACCCCAACAAAAACCCTCAAAAACCACCTCCCGAGGTGGTTTTTCAAAATCGGATTTAAACCCCTAAAAACCGGTTAATTTGCGTTCACACCAGGTTAAATAAAAACCGGTTTTTGAAAAACCGGTTGAAACCGCTAAATATAAGTCTGGTATGAACAGGGTCTAACAGTCGTTCTCCCCGTGTTCCTGTGGAAGCAGTCTAATAGGGAATAGGTTTTTGGTCAGAAAGGAAGTCCGTCCATTTTCTTCTAGTTTCTAGTTCTAGTAAATACTCAAAGCAATATTTTATCCCAGCAAATCATTTTACATGTTTTATTTGTCAACCAAACCATACGTCACACCCCAGGTAGTCTCCCTGACGTCATGAATCACACCCGCCGCCATCCGTCACTGTCCCTGTCACAGCGGGATCAATTATTACTTCGGTTTCCTCGTCAGATCAGGTAGTACAGCATCATAGGTAAGAGTAGGGATGCTCAAAGCCTAACAGATACACCGTGATGCTTGGATTATCCGCTGACAAATGCTCTATTTGTTATACAATATCTCATGTTCAACAGAAGATTTAACGCTCCTTTTTCTATACTGTAATGTTCTAGTACAAGTCGAGGCATGTAGATCGTTAAGTTCGATTTTGGAAGGAGACAAACTGTATCGATTACGTGTTGATGAATCTTAGAGCGTATTGGTGCCTTTGTTTTGTCTTTCCCTTTACTGTTAAATGCCGCTCTAATGATCAAGATTCAAAGGCTGTACTCGAAGTCCACAAATTGGTTGTCTGTCGACTTGTTCTGACGAGCGTCTATGGCAAAGCGCCAAAACCTTTGCAAACTATCGGCTGGCTGAAGTAGAGTTGTTTCTTCATTCTCCTAGCTCTCCTAAGAGCCAGACCGGTAACACCAAGGAATGGCTTCTTGAGATAAGAGACATTGTGAAGAAACAGTGATAATTGGTGAAACATGGAGAAAGTTACAGACGTGTGATGGGAGTTAAACACTAGGGGCAACCTAGATACATAATCGGCAGTGCATTCTCCTTACGTGGCTTATTTGAACATATTGTACTTCTGCTGAGAGGAAACGAGAAGCCGGAGGCTTTGATTATAGGGACGCACTTCAGCAATGGTTATAGATCCACGCCAACTACATCACACATTGACCCCACTTTCCTCGGTACAAAGTTATCTTCGTGCTTTGTCCATGTATATGGAGACCTCTAGGGTCACACAATGTATCCACTTTCCATGATGAGTTCCGTAGGAGTAAGTGCGGGGTCCCGGAGGACACGAAACATATGCAAATCCAATTGTTGACAAATATCAGACCACTGCAATGATTTCCTAGAGGAGTCAATTTAGAAGTGGCGAAATTGCACACTTGTATCGACCAGGCCAACAACACAGGCACGGCCGGAAGCCATGTGATTCACTGCTATACTAGGTTAGAAAGAAAACACTTTTATGTTCTGTGAATCTACATGCAGGTCTTCAGTCAATTTGTATCCATAGCCACTCAGCTAAATGGATTGTTTCGGAATATTACACAATGTACTGCACGGTAAGATTAGTGGTCCTACACGACCTATACATAGTCTCTGTTGGATACATGGTTAATACAGCCACATTTCAGACTGTTGTTGATTGAATGGCCATTATACATATACCCGACTACAAATGTACTTTTCAACCAGGCCGGGCACAGCAACAATGGCTAACGTTATGGACCCGTGTTCTCGACTTGCCAACACATACATCCTAACATGACCACTTAGATTTTTACACCTTTTAACACCTTCAACGGTTTCAACAGCAGATGCCTACAAGTGATAACTAAGAAACATTTTCGGGACACAGCAACAAACCCTGACTACAACCTGATGCTCACTATCCGTCGTAGGAGACTCCGGTACCTTGGCCACATTCTTCGCATGGATCCCTCCAGGCTGGTTAGGCGCACCCTCGAAGCCTACGTGTGCGGAGGAGACAACCCTCCTGAGGGATCTCTGCTTATGGATTGTGAACACTTACCATTTGATCAGTTAGCTAGACAAGCAGGAAACAGGCGGATGTGGAACTCTAAAATCAATAAGTTAAAATGACTCTGTACTGTTAGGCATGTAGCAAAAGACCATGTGGTCTGAAATTGTAAAACATACATATACACCTTTTAAAAGCTCAGCAATCGATTAAGTGGACCTCAAAGGCATTCGGTATTCGCCGTCAGTAACTGTTGTCAGTGTTGATGAAACACCAGTTCTGTCTGCCCTGACTCGGAGGTCTCGCGGTGCAGGATAACGTGAGATGAGGCATGGTGCGGAGGCGAGACGGCGTCTCTCAGAGTCAGAGCCTGTTCTAGCGCTATTTCCTCTTCCTTGTTACACACAAGCCACGGACAAGCTGGATTACATACAGTAACAA